ATTTGTTAATTATTAGGAGGGTGTTGGTTTAATCCCACCTCTATTGTATCTCTAATTATTCTAATATATTGATCCTTTTTTGAAAGAAAAAAAGTGGATCAAGAGAGTTTATAGTATAAAGTGTTGGCGATTAAATATAAGATGATTGAAGCTTATTAAGTACGATGGTAGAAAAGCGTTAGCGTGGTTGAAAGATCTTTCTAGAATTAGTGAGTGATAGGACAAATGATTAAATAAGATGAAAATGCTAAAATTAGGTTAGAGGCGGAGGAGGAGAAATAAGTGGTCAAGTGTTGTTCTAGTTGGATCATTGATTTGGGTTTAACATGAGAGAGAATTTTTCATTGAGGTATTTCTTTATGAGTAACACTCCTTATGAGATAGGTGTATAGATTCTCTAACTTATAAAGTGTTCAATCTCAAACTTTCTATCAATATGAGACTTTTCCACACTTGTTACTCAACACTTCCAACTCATACTTGTTTTTCTCAACACTCATTTTCAAGTGTGATTCTATCAATAATATTCCCCCTAAAGAGAAATATATTTCATCTACATACTTTAGTATCGATGTTGAGATTGTTTCAATGGGACGCCTCGTATCCATCACCATATATGGAGGACTTTCGATATAAGTGAGTCGGTCATTAACTTGAACCAACGACTCTGGATACTATTGTTCAGTCATTAATTTAGAGGTCAATGTGAGGCAGCCTTATTTACATTGGGGTCTTCCTTTTTTAGCAATACACCTTGTGAGAGACATACCACATATTCACCTAAAACCTTTAGGTGATATGTGTGTGGGTTCTCTAACTTATAAAATGCTCAATCTCCACTTTTCTATCAACGTGAGACTTTCTCACACTTATTTTTCTCAACACTCCTTCTCAAATGTGAGTCTATAAACAATGTTCCCCCTCAAGCGAAATCGCTTTCATCTACATACACTTTGTATCGCTGTTGACACTTTCTCAATGGGACATACCTCATATCCATCACCATTTGGGAAGGACTTTCAATATAAGTGAGTCGGTTCTTCACTCGAACCAACGACTCTGGATACCACTATTAGGTCATGAATTTATAGGCCAATGTAAATGTTTCTCCCTCATGATAACATGTTAGTGGTATTAGAGTCTGGAAGCGGGCATCAGGTTTTAAAGTAAAAGGGCAAGATAAGATGTTATACAAGTTTTGAAAAGCTTTGCATGGATTGAAGCATACAACTAGAGCTTAGAACAAGAGGATTGATTGATTCTTAATCAAGCTAGGTTTCAACAAATACACATCAGAACATGGTATATATGTGAAAGGCTCAAGTGAGTAAGACCAAGTCGTCATATGTCTTTATGTGGATGATTTATTGGTCATAGGCTCTAATGAATATGAATTGGAAAACTTCAAGGCAAGCATGGACAATGACTTTGAGATGTTAGACTTAGGAATTCAACCCACTTCTTAGGAATCGAAATAAACACCAAACCAAAAACTTTTTTACATTAGAAGAAATATGTAGAATACATCTCAAAGAGATTTAAGATGAGAAAATGCAATTTTGTTATCACACCAATGGAAACCAACATCATGTTAAGAAAGAAACTTGATGAAGAGTTAGTTGATAGCACATTGTACAAACATATCATTGGATCATTGAGATATCTTTGTAACACAAGACCTGACATCTTTCATAGTGTGGGTTTGATCAATAGATTCATGAAAACTAAGACTTTGTCACTTACTTGTAACAAAGAGAATCCTAAGGTACATTAGAGGCACAAGATGTCATGGAGTTTTCATGTCTCATCAACAAAGCACTAGAACTGAAGCAAGGGTGTGTAATTTTTCAAATTGTGATTGGAGTGGTGATCAAAATGATAGGAAAAGAACAGATGGCTACCTGTTCATGCTTAGATTAACACCAATCTCTTGAAGCTCAAAGAAGCAAGGAATTGCGACATTGTCCTCTTGTGAAACATAGTATGTTGCAGCCTCCTACACTGCATGTCAAGCACTTTGATTGGAAATGCTACTTGAAAAATATAATATAAATGATTGCCTACCAATCAGGTTGTTACTTGATAGTCAATCAACAATTGACTTAGCAAATCTTCCTATGAGCCATGGTAGGAGCAAACACATATAAATGATTAAGCATTGAATATTGCAAAATTGAATGGCAATTAGTTGATATTTTAACAAAGTCTCTTAAACAAACAAGATTTGAAGGTATTAAGAGGTTAGTGAGGATGAGAAGTTTGAAGAAACCGAATTAGGAAGGGTATTAGACGAGTAATTTAGTTTTCTTCATGTGGTTATGATAGTTTAAGATAGTTGGATCATCAACTTAGGATTCAACATGATGAAGTATTTTCATTGATGTCTCTTTTTATGAGCAACATATTTTATGAGAGACACATCACATACTCATCCAAAGTTTTAAAATGATGTATGTGAGTTCTCTCACTCGCAGAGTGTTCTATTTCTATTTTTTAAATCAATATGAGATTTTCCCGCATCTGTTTTTCAACACTTCCAATTCACACTTATTTATCTCTTACCGTTTTTTGTTAGATAATTTTGTTGAAAGTAGACACTAGAGTGGTGGGTGAATCATAAATCCAAAACTTCTGATATATTATGAAAAGAGCTATATATATATATATATATATATATATATATATATATATATATATATATATATATATATATATATATATATATATATATATATATATATATATATATATATATATATATATATATATTCTATCTTATACAAACCAAATTGACTATGAATCGATAAGAAAGATTCTTTAAAACAAAGTTATGCCTGTAAAAATCTATTGAATGTGTGGAAACTTTTCAATCTTAAATACTAAAGAAAACTTAGACAAAAGAGGAATTATTTCAGCTCACTCGTTAGAATGTGCATGTCGTTATTGAAAAGAGGAGAACATTTAACATTTATACATAGAATGTACGTAGATGCGAATTTTTTGGTCAAATCTAAACTAATATCCTAAAATGACTAGAGTTTTATGTGTAATGTGTTATCCCTAATGTAACTAAAACAGAAAAAAAAATGGTCGGAGATTTCACGTGTCATACCTTAGGAATTATTTCTGATATCCAATTTTGTAGCCTCTACTGTGTTTTTACTATAAGCACGGGTCCTAGGAGAAGTTTAATTTTTTAAAATATACTCTCTTCAACTTTATTTATAACCAAAAATCTTTAAAAAAATTTAATCTTAAATATAAATAAATTTAAATATATTTAATGTCTTTATTCTCAAATTATCTTTACATTAATTTTATCTTTATATTAATTATTGAATATCGTTAGTGAATAATAATTTAATTAAAATATATTAATAATTATATTATCTATTTTGCAAGAAATTACAAAAAAGTAAATTTACTTAACTATCTTTTTCAATAAATATAAAATTTATTTTTTTTACTTATAAATTAGACCAGAGTAACATTTATTTGATTTAAAAAAATAATTAAACAAATAAAAAATATAAGTGAAATAATGGAAAAAAATCCTGTAAAAATAGACCAAGAATATTCAATATCTATGTTTTTCTTGTTCTTTTAAATACATTTATAAAATTTTAATTTTTAAATAAAAATTATAAACTATTTATAATTATTTTGTTATATTAATTAAACAAATATAATAGTTATGTGTAATATTTCATATATACTCGATCCATTTACTTACGATTGATAATTTTTAAACACATTTTTAAGTCTATTGTTACTAACATACTTTTTATTTGTTTAAAATGTTTTAAAGAAAGTTAATTTATATTAAATAATATAAAAACTATTTAAAAATTATTTATATTTCATATTTAAAAATTTAAAAATAAATGTTTATAATTAATTTTTAAAACTACTAAACTATTTAATTTTGTTGTTACTAACATAAACTCCTTCTATTTTATAATATAAAAAAATCCACTTTTCAAATTTATTAAATAATTAATATATACATTAATTATTTTAAAAAGTGAATTTCTCATATGAATTTTTCTTATAATAAGATAGGAGTATTTTTTTATTTATGTAAAGTGATTAATGAAAGTTCATTTTTATTAAATATTATAAAAATAATTTATAAATTTTAGAAATATTTCATATTAAAAATCTAAAAATAATTATTCATTACTAATTTTAAAAATATAAATTAAATACAACATAAATAAAAACATAAGACGAAAATAACTTAAATCTAAATAAAAATTGAGTGTAGGAAGATATCTATGAAGAGACAATTTTTAGCGGTTTACTTGCCTTAAGTTGTTAAGGCATTAAATATAAACAAGAAGAAATATACAATTGTCATCGTAAATTATTTAAGTTTAGGTTATATTTTACCATAAATAAGTCAATAAAAAGTAAAATGATAAATTAACTTGATATTATTTCCCTTTTTAAAAAACTTTTATTTATTGTTATAGTTAGATGAAAATGAATCACATAGTTATTCTTTTTGGAGTAATTTTTATTTTTGTAAGTATATTTGACAATAAATATATAAGTAATTTCAATTTTTTTAATATATTTGATTATAATATATTAATAGTCAGGTATATCTAAAAATAAAAATTATTTATAATAAATATGCAAAGAGTGTATTATATAGTCGAAAACATAGAAGTTGTATTAATATGAGCAAATTTACATGGGCAACAGATATTTCTAATAATTAACCATAATAATAAAACAACATAGACATGAAACACGACACTCTCAAAATAAAAATAAAAACTACTAAAAGACAAAAATAAATAAAAAACCTGAATGACCCATTATAATAAAAGAGAAAGACCAAATTCAATCTAACTAAAGTTTTCACTACATTCACTAGTGGCTCCAATTCATTCATATTCCTGCCACAAACCCCCCTCCACATGCTTCACCTTCCCATTTTTCACCTCTCTTCTTTCTCCTTAAACTTAAAAAAAGAGCACTTTTTTTTTAATTTAACTTAAACGCCTTGGGACCATTTTCACATCAAGAGGATTCGCCATTTCACAAGAAAGCCTAAGCACCTCTGTTAAATCCACACCGTTCATTTCATCCAACGGCTTCCATTCAAACTCATGCAAAAGCTTAGCCACCCAATAAGTCACAGTAGCCAAACCCAAATTCTTCCCGGGGCAACTTCTTCGACCCGACCCGAACGGAGCCAACCTAAGATCCGACCCGAGAACCGAAAACTCAGCACCATCTTCATTCATAAACCTCTCGGGCTTAAATTCAAGCGGGTCCCCCCATACTTCCGGGTCCCTAGCTATGGCCCACATGTTCACCATAGCTGTCGTCCCAGCTGGCACGTGATACCCATCAATTGTCGTATCGGTGATGGCCAGTCGGGCCCACGAAAGTAGTGGGCCTGGTGGATGCAACCTTAAAACCTCCTTTATAACCGCCTGTAAATACACCGTCGCCGCCATGTCCTCCTCCGTAACACCACATGCACCTCCACTCGCCACCGCGTCAAGCTCCATCTGTACCTTCCTTTGCACGTCAGGATGTAGCACCATCCTCGCTAGTATCCACTCTATCAAAACCGCAACCGTGTCGGTTCCTCTAAATATCATTTCCTGTAAAAAAAAAACAAATTATGTCCCAAACAACTTATAAATATTTAATATAAGATAATAAATTGTGCCGCTACCTTTTTTTATAAAAAAATTGAAATGTTTTTTTAAATACTAAATTTTGATAAACTTACCCAGAGTACAGCGATCATGTCGGATTCAGACAATTTATCAGGTTCTTGAAGAGAGAGCAGAACATGAACGAAATCCATGTTGGTTTGGTGTTTGTCGGCTCGGTGGTCGGAGATAATTGAACCAACGAACCGGTTCACTTTAGGTACTAAATTAGCACAATTGAACCGGATTTTTTGAACATCAAAATCTTTCAAAAAAGGAAGATGATCACCCCAATTAAGAGAACCCAACAAATCATAACCTTGTTCAACCAACCCACTAAGTTCCATCATTCTCTCATTAACTTGATCAATCTTAAACCTCTGTCCAAAAACAGAGCACATCATGTTATTCAGCGATGCTTTTTTCAAAACATCACGAACCGGACCGAACCCGCGGCTTCGGAACAAATCAATCATCTGAGTGGCAATTTCAGTACGTTGCGGCCCAGATGATTTGATTTGCATGGGTGAGAAAAGATGGTTGGTTGAGATTTTTCGAAGGGTTCGCCAGTAAACACCGTAGGGTGCGAAACCTATGGCTCTATTGAACATGAGAGAGTAAGCTGACTCTTTGATAGGACGATCAGCGAAAACGGAGCTGTGGAGAATCTCTTTGGCTACATCAGGGTTAGACGTGATTATTGCACGTGTATCACCGAGACTGAAAGCCATGAGTCTAGTTGCTTTGCATGTTTTTGCGGCGGAAGCGAGACGGTGGTGAGCGAGTGAAGAAGACATAAGGTTCATGCTTCCAATTAGAGGGTAACCGTTAGGACCAGGAATGAACATAGGAGAGGATTTAAGGTTGTTTTTGTTTTTGTTGTTGTTGGAATTGGAATAATAGTACTTGCCCCAAGCAGGACCACCAGGGTGAGACCAGTAAAAGAAATTCATGGTTAGCCAGAGTAAAGCCATGATCAAAAGAGAGTAAACAATGTTCTCTTGTGTGCATTTTGAAGCTAGGGCGAATATCCAGAGGTTATCAATGTGGGTAGACATGGTTAGAGAGAGAAACTGAGGAGAGAGAAACTGAGATTAAGGGTTTGCAAAGGAAGGAGGATGAAGAAGATGAGTGAAGTGTGGTTTGTTTGGTGAGTAAGTAGAGGTTGGTTGAGGAATATATATAGGGAGAAAAAGAGGAAGAGGAATAGGTGAAAAGAAAATGAAAAACAAGTAACGGTTATGATTATTATGGTTTATGGTTAGGTTATGATATGTTACATACGTTACACATGAGATTAAAATACTCCTATATTTATTCTTAAATATAAGATTCTTTTGACTAAATTATAGAAATTTAAAAAGTTTATTAAAATAATAAATTTATTAATATTTATATAATTTTATAAATTTATTTCTAGAAGAGATATATTATAGAAAAATATATAATATAATTAAAAATATCTTTGAAAAAAAATAATTAATACACTTTTAAAATTGAGAGGGTCTTATAAAAAAAAGAAGAAAAAAACTCAAGAAGTTTTATAATTAGAAACGAATGAGTATGTAAAACCGTATGTTACGGATGAAAAATAGGAGTAGGACTATTGATATACTAAATGGGAAAGGTGTTATGGTTATTAAGTGAGAGTAATGATTTGGTTAGTGGGGGGAGATAAAGGAAATTAAATGAGGTAGTAAGTTTTAAATTTTTTGTTGTTTTTGGAGTGATCATAGGAATTGCGCCGCCAATAGTGTGTGACGAAATCTTGGAAAAGTATGTGTCTAGATTGGGTCCAGTTTTTGTTGCACGCGCCATTAATTTGGTGCTACTACTTAAATCATACTCACCAAACTATATGTAAAAAATTAATTTAGTTTAGAGTTTTTGACCCACATTAAAAAAATTATACTAATAACTAATTTTGAGAATTGTTAATTATGTTTTACCATCTTAATCTTAAATATAAAATATAATGTAATACTTTGAGAATATTGTATAAAATACTAATTAAAAAGAAATTTTAAAAAATAATTAATTTTATATTGAAGAGTAAAAAAACATTTCACTTTTAAATAATATTGAAAAAATAAAATTTTATAATCTAAGTAATGTGAGATTAGAGAGTGTGATTTGAATGCATATGATTTTTTTTATTTTAGTATTATATTATCATGCACACTTTTCTTTTTAGAAAGAGTATGCAATAAATAAACGAGGAGATCAAATCATCATGACATTGTATTATAATTAATGACGTGAAGGTTGTATCATCATTCAGGTGATTTATCTCATGAATCCACACAAGAACGTACTGAAGGTTTAAAAGTAATGCTCCATAAGAGTTATCGCAAGGCGAACCAAGTCATCATATTCATGAATTCCAGATGACATATTCAATCCTCGAAACTCATCATCTAAGTGGAAAGATAAAAACATGCAAGATGTTATTCATATCCTTATAAATAATCTTCTAAATTAGTTCTTAGCTTCAAAGGACACATACAGATAACACACATAATATGTTTAACAATATATATCAGATCACGGTAGAGCATAAAAGGAGCACGCAAACATGATAGTTAGATATCTTTAACAATATGAAACAAAATACATTGCATAACATAAAAAAGGGATGTGCTTACTCCATTTATTTGTCACAAAGGGACAAATGGGAGACTTGTAAGGCCCTTGAGGACATTTAAAACATAGAACTGAACATCCGAACCACAAATGGACCATAAACTTCACCATATAACAAGACAACCAACCCACACAGGGGAAATAAGTAGCACCAGAGAACATGAAGTCCAACCCTCACATGTGCAACATAACTAAACAGACTATTCGACCATACATATGACATACCTCAACATAATCATTCTAACTAATCTTTTTTATTGACAAACAAAGTTTTTTCAATTCCCCAAGAATATACCCATTACTAGTGAAAAAATTTGTGAGTCTTTCATACCAAATTTTAGGAGCTTGTTTCAACCCATAGAGAGCCTTATTAAGCTTGTAAACATGATTTAAAATGAATGGATCAATGAACCTTTTTGGTTGTTTAACATACACTTTCGCATTTAAGTAACCATTCATAAAATACTTTTCACATCCATTTGGTGGAGTTTGAATTTCATAAGACATGAAACTCCAAACAACAATCTCATAACTTCTAGACGAGCGACTAGGGAAAAGGTTACATCAAAGTCTACTCTCTCTTTTTTAGTATAATATTGATCGACTAGGAAAGCTTTATTTCTTGTAACGTTCTCGTCTTTATGAGATTTATTATTATAGATCCACTTGGTGCCAATGATGTTGGCATAGTTAGGTCTAGGAACTAATTTCCAAATTTTATTCCTTTAGAATTGAACAAGTTCTTCATGCATGACATTGATCTAATATTCATCCCGAAGGGATTATTTAACATTTTTAGGCTCACTTTTCAATATAAAGCATATATTTGCTATCAATTCTCTATAATTGATAAGCTATTTTGGTGCAGTTGTAACTCCTTCATTTAGATCCCCAATTATGTTTTCGATGGGATGTTTCTTTTGAATTCTTGTGGAAGTTCATTTGTTTTATATAACACTAACTTCATAAACTTCGTTATTATCATCTATAGTTGGCAGAATGACGTTGGTATTATTTTCTTGAACATTAGGTAAGACATGTTGTTCTAGAATAACAAAATCCTCCTCTTTGAATAACAACTTTGAATTGGATGTCTTCCACAAGGACATTTATGGATTTCATCATATATATATTTTTCGATTATTGGACACAAGGTATGACCTACTATTTTTGAAATATTCTAAGATACCTTCATCACTTTTAGGATCCAACTTTCATTTTTGATCTCTATCAGCAAAGATATAACACTTGCTACCAAACACATAAAAGTATTTCATGTAACACACTGATTTATTTAATGAAATTTCGTAAATAAATTATGTTATTGCGTGTGTTTGTTTATGATCTGATGTGTTAGAGGAACCCTTAGGCGTAGGGTGGTAGCCTTAGAAATGTAGAATTTAAGGTGTTTAGAGTGTTTGGGTAAAAATATAGAGATTTGGGGGTGGTAGAAGTGGAATTAACTACTATTAGTTGATTATAATTATTTTAATTATTTAAGAGGAATATTGTTTACTTAAATATTTAGTAGGAATAATATTTATTTTATTTAGTTGAAATAAGATTTTAATAAGAAATAATAATATAATAAAATATGAAAAGAAGGGAATGAGAAGTGAGAACTGTCAGAACGCGAAATTGAGGAGAAAAGAAGAAAAAGAGAAAAGAGAGCTTGTGCATAGAAGAAGAAGAACTTCTATTAGAGAAGCTTCAAATTCATCATCTAAGGTAAGAGTGGGAATTACTCTTGTATAAGAGATTGTATGATAACATGTGGGTGTGCATTTTAGTCTCTTTGTGATTGCTTTTCTCTTCTCTATGCTTTGAACAATTTGATGTGTAATGATGCTATTGTGTTGTGTTTTTGGATGAATTATGTGTTTGGTGAATTATTGGAATGTTAGGTGTTGTTGGGAATCAGAGTGTGGAACTTGGGTAAATTATTTTTCATGAAAATTGGGGGTTTTAGAGATGTTTTGGGATTGGTTTTGTAAAACAACATTTTCTGAAAATTCAAATTTTCGTGGGTGTAACCGGTTACACTATCAAAATAAACGTGAAAATGGTCCTTTTTGAGGGTTATAACCGATTACTATTGTGGAGTAATTGGTTACCACTGGGAAAATTGTACATTCCCTGTTTCTAGAATTGGTGTAACCGATTACTAGTTTTGGTGTAATTGGTTACCACTGTTAGGTTAAAACTATATAAACTCATAACTTGAGTTTTGGATACCTGAATGAGGTGTCGTTTGAAGCGTTGAGAAGTTGACATACTGTAATTTAATTTAAAAATGGTCTCAAAACCTGTAAATGATTAAATGTTGCGTAATAGTGTAGTATAGTATGTGATTTGTATGTTGTGGTGTGATAAATATGTGGGTGGTATGTTGTTGCATGATATGTTACTATAATGCTAATGTTAATTGCTTATAGTGTATGTATGGTGTTTGGTGGAAGGTATTGGTGTTGTACATTGGTTAAGGTGAATATTACCGTACATGTTTTTTGTTGTTGTTGTTGCATGTAATTTATGAATCATGCATCATGGTGTTTGGACGGTGGTTCGTTTTTGGTGAGCCTCAATCCTATGGTGGGGGTTGGGTGCGAGTAGCTGGTTCCAGGTGAGAATCGGTGAAGCATTACCTATGGTGACAATAATGATTTTTGGCGTGCTTTGGTCCTATAGTGGGGATTGGGAGCGAAATGAACCTGAGAGTTCATAATTAGTACTGCATGCATTGAAGTCATGAAGTTGAGTCTCATTGCATTGCATATATGTTGTATTATGATGTTTGAACTGTGTGGAATGGGAATTGTTGAATGGTGATCATATATGTGATATTTATACGCTTACCTATTATTATGCAAATTCATTATATGATTATGAATTCTCACCTCTTCTGTTAGAATGTTGCCTTATATGGGCATCATGCAGATAATTCGCAGTAGAGGCGTGGAAGTGAGTGGATGAGATTACTCTTCTTTATGATTTTATTGAATCGACGTTTTCTCTGATATGTAACACGAGGGAGAGGGGGACGCTTGTTTCTTTATTTTATGTTTGGTGGATATTATTATGTGAATCTCCTATGTTTGATAATTTCGTATAATCACACTATGTTTTAATCATGTTTGAAAAGTTAAACTATTTCAATTTGTCTATTATGTTCTTTAAATACCATATGTGTTACATATTCTATTGTATGAGTTGGTTGAAGTTAAATGTGGTATCCTAATTTCATAATCGTTTTAAATTACTCTGATTTTTATTTATAAATTACGTCAGGAAAATTAGGGTGTTACATTATGGTAACAGACAGGTCAGTTTGTTCGGCCAAGTTGTCGAGTCTGTGGAGTGTGACGCTCGAATAATGTTGAAGTAGTTTCTGGTCACCATTGTTTGCTGTTATTAT